CAGAAATTTTTGAAAAAAAAACTGCAACACTTATTTTTTTTGCAAAGTAAAATTTGTTTTATTATATTATATGCATCTGATAATGTCCAATTAAAAAAAAAATATGAATTGATTACGTCTATGCATTCTCGTAAGAAATTTTCACCATGAATTGATGCACAAGCATCTCATTCAATGGATTTACTTAAACATTGACCCTATAAACCTTATCAAAAATGCTCAATGTCAGGGCATTAACAATGTACACTAAACTTAAAATAAACAAATGAAATACGAAGAGAACTGAAATTTTTGTGGAATAGTTTCTGAGCATCACAGATTCTAGTAATTATTACTGATTTTCTTGTAGGGAAGTTTTTTCCTTATCCTAAATTTAGCAAATCATTTGTAATCAATACAATATGGCATGAAGTGTTCTTGGCTATCACGATAAGCATATCTAGAAGATTTTCCTTCTTGGCCTTAGGCTCTAACAATTTCATCCCTGTATTGCCTAACTATCTTTATCATGCAAGCTTATACTTATAAAAGTAACCAATCATCATGGTAATTTACCGAGCACTGTTATGTACTACTGTGCATCTATCTATCTTCTTACTGTCATCCCTTACATCTAACGCAACGAGGATGAGTTTCAGGGTTAAAAGTTATTTATGCACACAGCTAATTATTCCTTATCCCATCAAACAGAAGTATGAAAATTATGTTATACAGCAAAGGAAATATGACTGAAAAGTGAATGAGGTGATAGTGTCATTCAGCAGCCCGCAACACTGCGACGAATTAATTCCCTTTCGAATAATGTAACTATCACATCAACTACTACTACCTCTGTATTAAGTCTTTGAGAAAATAAAACCAAGTCTTGTATTGTTTTTTATTGCAAAAGACACATCAGAGTATGTCTTGTTTCTTATTCACAAAAATACATATCGACATTGATAATTTGCATTTAATTATTTGTTTAAAATATTATTTTATTAAGTATGTTAAATTGGAACAGACTTACTAAAAATATCTGTTTTTTCAATTATCTTAAGGTCGTATTCCTGAGATTGACCTTTTCTTACAAATAATTTCGAAAATTATCATATGAGTTATTTTTTGAGCTAACTCTTATTAAACACAATGGAATCATTGCAACTAATTTCTCCTCTCTAATCTTACATCTAAAGAATGATTGCTACTTTACTCTTTGATTTTAAACACCAAATAATTCTTTTTTTTTTTTTTTTTTAAGACAAACAGAGTTCTCAGTTTTCAGAAAGAAAATTTCATTTCAGATATTTGGAAATATTTAGAATTGCGACCATATCTTTTTATAATTTGATAGATCATTGGTGCTTGCAATGGAGCTGAACGGTGGTGGGACAGGTGAATATGACGGGTTTAGTGATCTCAATGGCATTTTCTATGGTAGAAAAAATCATAAAACAGTTAAATGATTTCATTTGATGCAAAAAAGCTTCAAAAATGTCATTGTGAGACATACTGAAGATGATTTTGTGTTTTTGAATTGTTGAGAAGTGAAATATTGATTGATTTCCATCATATTATGCTTGGATTTGCAACAACTCTTTTTGCATAATTCAAAAATTTGTTAAACAGTGGTAAATATTTATATGAATCCACTCATATCATTGTGCACAATTGAACTAAGTCACTCGTTGTAGTGTATGCACCATCATTGTAAGTTGCACTGCAAAAAATGCAGTGTACTGTAGTAATATATATTATTAGGAAAAGCGTTTTAATGCGACTATGTCATCCGTTTTTAGATAAGAAATAAACTGTGCGAATTTGTTCCACACAATTTATATGTCGGCCAGCTTTTTTATGAGAAGTAGAGGAAGTGACTCGGAAAACATCAATAATTCTAATTAATTCAAACCAATGCTACACTTCCACTTCTTATGAAATTCCCTTTTTCAAATCAGAAATTCTAGTCTGTGAGTAAAAATCCTTATTCTCACAAAATCCTATGCTTTCCGAATACTCTGGAAATTAAATAAGTTCCGATTAATTCTTAATGAATTTTTCTTGCGAGTGCTAGTTAGAGCATCCATTTTTTTTTTCTAATTTAGATTTGATCAATATTTTTTGAAGGAGACTTTAAATGATAAACTAGCATTATTAGCAACTGTTATAATTATTAGTGCTATGGTGAAGTGTTGCATGAATAAGCCATTAACTTGAGATGCATTCATACTATTTAAATATTATTTACAAAAGATTATTTCTTGATTGCGCTGCTTACATTCGCACTCCATTCGGCATCTTTTGATAAATTAATTAAATTCTGAGATAGCAAAAGCAGTGATTTTTGTGATTTATTATTAGTAATCAGTAATTAGCGAATTTCACAACCAGTTTAAAAAGTATGGCATGAAACAGGTATGTAAGAGGTATGTAAAGAGAGAAATTTTACTAAAATAAGCTATCTCTTGTCCCCTTTTTTGCAATTCTTTTTTCATATCCCAAAAAATAACTTTTGCAATCGAATGTTGCATTCTCGTCATTTCTAAATGATAATGAAGAATTCGTTCGATTGCCGAGAAGTATCTTTCACTTTAACGCAGGTAACCTATTCATCTTTTTTCTCCTGTATTTATATAAATTAAAAAGTGTTCCTGCAACAATAACTGCAATATCAAATATTATTAAAATCCATCTTTCATTTATTTGCTGACTTATTGCAAATATACGCCATCATTAACTATCAGCGAGCCCTCTTGATCTACTTCAGGATATATTTTCAGAAATTTCAAAGCAGCCAAAGCTTTGTAAATTTGGTAATTATTTAGTCAGATGTTGAACGAAAGCAAATTAAATCCTGTTCAGTTTTTTTAGTATGCCTCATTATTCCACATGTAGTACGAATTTTCGAAATTATCTTCGTATTTCAATTTTCCAATTTCAAAAACTGAACTTTAACTGCTCAAGCTTTTATTTAAGTTGATATCTAATCCTTCGATGCAAATAAAACGATTATAAGAAATTCCTTTATAAATGAGAAATTCATGGAGCGTTTCTTGATTGTTAGCAGCAGCGTATATTTACAACAATTTTGGGAAAAATTTTATTAGGAATTGTACTTACAGCTAAATAAATGTTCATTTGTAGAAAATCAACTTTTCAACTGTTTGAAGTTTAAAATCATATTGACTGATCAAACACGAGAAGGTGACGTGACATATAGCCTAGCTGTAGACAATGGTATGACTTGAGAAATTTGCAAGTCTCCAGTGTTTAAACTTCAGATAAGTAAAAAGATTTTTATGAATATTCAGCAATCTGAAAATATCATGGTTAAGCAGTAAAAGTTTTGTCTTTATTCAGATGAAATTTGACCATTTCAGAGTCATTTCTTTCATACTTCTGTTACCAATAGATTTAATACAAGCCTTTTTCGCTCTTTCAAAATTTATCAAAATTCTGTTCCTGAAAATGCGATTAGCAGGAAATTGCTAGTAAAGTGAATTCAAACTTCTTCAAACATTCTGTTTAACTTAATTTTTTGTTTGTTTCCATCTAGAACATCAAAAGTTTTATTTAATATGATTTTCTGAATTTCCGGAATGAACAAAAATTAAAAGTTGTTTTTTCAAATAACGTTGTTGATCGATAAAGCAATTATAAGTTCTTAGCTGTATTTTTTTTTTTTTTTTGGATAATTTGTTGGGAAGTGAACAATGAAAAGTGATTTCTAATTATAATCATTATTAAAATTCAAGAAAAAATTGTGGTGTTCTGAACCAAAGCACCTGAAACAATACATTAAATTCAATCCATACGAAGAAAAAAATAGCATTGTTGACTTCTTTTTTTTCAATTAATCATAGCGTTTTCTTCAGATTGAAGCCAAAATCATTTTCGAAACGAGTTATCAAATAAATAAAAAGTAATGATTCCTCTCAGATATGCTTAATAATTATAAACTTTCATCCAACTCTTTGTATAAAATTCTTATTATTTTTTCGAACAATTATAGTATATTGTTCATCAGCTACAAATAAACTATCATAGCAAATTATCATCGGTGACAGCGGCACATTCTTCTGCTGCTGCATTACTCCTCATTACTTATTACTTTTTTAATCAATCTGCAAAATAACTCATCGTCTTATTTCAAGAACACACATTATTTTATTTTTTTATATCATTATATCGATATTATATTTCATACGTGATCATGACCGATGATTAATCTCGAAACTTTCTTTCCTTTTACTACTAAAACTATATAAAGCTTTCAGCGTTTAATTACAAAGAAAGCCGCAAAACTTAATTTAAAAATACAATTTAAACTTTTTAAAATGCATTTCATCATAAAAGATTTCTACCGCAATATTTTTACACTCATCATTTATTTTTTTTTTAATAGACAGTTTCTACGGACTCGAAAATGTTTCCTCTATAAATTCATCTTTAAGACTAAACTCTGTAGGAAAAATTCAATAAGAGTTTTCAAAATTGTACTTTTTTTTCAAACCTTGCTACCTGCTTATCAATCCATCTAAAGTTACTCAGTTTGTTCTTATAAATGTTGACAAGTGCAAAACTATATTTCTGTATTCACTACTGATATTTTTTATACATACCATGAAATCAAATTTCTTACCGATTTATCCTTTCCCAGAAATATTCTATATTTGAAACTCGAAAGATTTTTTCCCAGAGGGAATGAAAGCATTGATAAATGTTAAATTATAACGTAAACAGGAAATATCGTTGGAAAAGTAATAGAACAAAAACTATGTTATGAAATCATCGAATTAATAATCTTTTACATTTCAGAAGATGGCGTCAAAATTGTTTTTATTTTGTCGGCTGTAACTGAACTACTTCAAGTGTCTGTGCTATTCGCTCTTAACTTCAATCTGTTGAGCTAATCGGATACGCTCCTTACAGAATTTCTTCTTCAATTTGCATATTTAACGATAGCTGTGCTAGCATCCCTACAATTATCATTTCACTAATAATCGATCTTAACATCAACGATGTACAACAATCCTACCTGTGTTCAATCAAATACCACTGTTACTACTACTTCCGTTCCTGCCACACTCCCGGATTATTCCACTTATGTCCCTTACTTTATTAATCTCATCAATGGTAAATCTTTCCACCAATTTCAAAATTTGTTGAAATTAAATAATAAGAAAACTTTTTATTAACTTACCGCTGTGATATGAAAATGATATGAAAGATATGACTTCATTATTGATAACTGCAAAGTAGAATTCGAAAAGTAGATAACAGGCCTGAAAATGTTGATGTCTCCCAGCGATATACTTCAGAAAACAAGGATATGTTTGCTTTTGATTTTTTTTGATGTAACGATTCTTGCAACTTCTCCCAGAGTGCATTTCTGTTCTGAAATTTTCTTTAGCTTTCACTTTTTTTAGATCCTGCCGTAGTGAATTCCTATTACGGTGGTGTACATACGAGCCGAAGTGCAGCCTACCGAACCTACCGAAGTTACTTGCAACTCGATACTAGTCCTGTACTCTATCGACAAGCTAGGTTTCTGGATTTTTCTGTCGTGATTAAGTAAATAACTATTTAATTCCATCTTTTCAAAGTTTTCATCAAAAAAGTTTTAAAAATTTAGCAAAGGTCTTAAACTCCATTATTGTTACAATCAAAGGTTGATATTGAAGTTTCTGAAAAATCAACGAATTGGGAGCAACACAAAAAATTAAGTACTTGTGAATGACTGCTGCAATATCTCTATCAGTATCCTCCTGTGCATTTTTTGTCTCTTTTAATGCAACGATTCCATATGAAATAACATAATAGCATGTTCTTAATATTATTTAAAGCATGCATTTCAAAAACAGAATCTTTCTAGAACTATACCAACACGAACTCAACCGCCAAAAATCTACAAGATGGTGTATACCAAACGAAATCGTGGTTATGCCATCGATCCATATTTTTTTAATGCAAGACAATATAGGTTCTGTCGTTGAATTGGACTAATTTAAATATTTTTTAATATCCAATTAAAACTTTATATTTTTAATGAATATTTGCATGATAACTTTTATTACACACTAATTGTTAACAACCCCACTTTGTTCTAGAAGCTATTCCGGTCCTTGGAAAGATGCTAGAAAGTGGCCGATGTATCGAAAAAAGAAAGAACCTTCTGGTCGAATAGAAACATATCAGGTTAGAATTATTAACCTTTTTAAATGTCCAGAAATTGAAATACTTAAATTATCTTTCTGCAGGAATCAGAATTCAGTGGCAATCCGATAGATCGACAACCTCGTTACTATCATGGATTATATAGAGGTAAATACATGTATTATATGAAAATGAAGGAATACAGACGAATGCTTTTTGTTTGTAAAGAAAATAAAAGGAAGCAAATGAAAATTAATTGCAGTGCAATGGAATATGCAACCTACAGCACTGAGACGAATACGACCGTATTATGCACCAAGTTATGCAACCTATCCACCAAGTATCATGAATGCAGTAAGTAGGAAGGAGAAGTACAATGAACGATATTCCATTATGATGAGAGTTGCTATTAAGGCGATCGAATTGGTTGGCGTTTTTTTGGTTTTTAGATAATTTGGTGAATTTTTTCATTTAGTTTGAATCACAACTATTTCTGATTAATGTATCATAATAGTGCTGAAAACAGGGGAACATTATTATTCAAAACACTCTTAGTTATGATAATTAAATATGAAACAGTTGCGGTAAAAGATTTCTTGCTCATTATTCTGTAACACACTGCAAAAGAAATACTGTATTTTGTTTAAATATTATTAAGTAGAAATTTTACTAAAAGATTGAACCCAACTGCGCGTGATCTCTGCGACCATAATATTCTTTCCTCTGTTGATAGTAAGTTAGATCGCTTTGCAATTATTTCGCAGTTATTAAAATGAATTGTGCTTAGTGATTGCAAAAGAAAATCACTGACAAGAGCTATGATTAGTTTTTTTTTTTGCATAATATTTTGAAATTTGATAGTGATTTAGATGCTTGGAGCTGCCACAGTGGGATTTATAATTGCTCCAGTGCGCGAACTGTCTCTTTACGCATTTGTGAAAATGACGCATACTGAATGGCAAGGCTTAGTACTTGCTGTTTCCGGATCATTCTCAGCACTGTGCCTCATTATGTTATTCGGTTCTTTCTTCGGTAATCGATATATGTTATGGCGGAAATTCGTTAGTTATTTCACTTTCTTCATATTTTAAAAAAAACGAATTGACTGCAATTACTTCGAACTGTCAACAAATCTATATGAAAGCATTTGTTTCGTCTCTGTCACAGCTTCTCAGAAAAAGCTTGAGTATATGAAGGGTGCACATTAATAATAACTTTTGTCCGTAATTTTAGTGTGACATTCCGTAATGTCTCCAAATCGCAACAGCAGTTGTGCATCAGTTGTTTTCGTCATTGATTACATAAGTGCATTATCATTAAGTCATTGCGCTTTTTCAATCAATTTTAAAATATTATTGAGAAAATTCGAAATTTCTAGTGCAATCCAAACAACCAATACGATGAATAAGAAGAAAGTTGCTTCTTCCATGCTGAACCTCATATGCCACTTTTTTTAATAGAAGTCTTCTTAAAATGTTGAATTTTCATTTTCTTTCACATGAATATATCGTTTTAGGACTATCTGATCAGCTTATTTGGCTCATTTGGTTATTTATTTGTTGGTGTTATAGAAGCATATCATGCGACATGTCACCCACCTGACAGTAAAAAAATAATTGCATTAGTTTGTCATAGACTAGAATGGATTATTGCAACTGTAAGTTTTCCATATCTCTTAAATCAAAAATATCTTCGGTCTTTTTATGATAGGAAAAAGGCAGATTTAAGCAAAACATAATGGTTCAATAAAGGAAAAGTTTGAGAATTTGGATACACCGATTATCATGCTTGCAGGCTCTAATATTCATCAATGTTATCGTGTATATTGTGGACTGTGTGCTGTCATTTCGAACAGGAATTAAAATGTTGTGATCTTTTTTCCTTTTTTTAATTTTATACTAATTTTCATGGTAATTTTATCATTTAAGCATGCCATGATCTGAGCGTCTTTCTTTTTCCTTTTTTAATAGAATTTTGTAAATTTTATAAGACGACTAAAGAAAATCATTTGGAATTAATATACTTTTTACTTTGTCACTTTTCACTCTTGCTTTAAAGAATTGATATTGCTGATGCAACAAGAGCGCTGAATTTTCATCCATCAGTGTTATTCAAGATTATTTTTAAACAGAAGTGAAGTATGATAAGGATCGGAAAAATACGACAGTTGAAAACGGTGTTAATTTTTAGAACTTGATTAAATCTCATTTGTTATGATTTCGTCCTGACAATTAATGGTAATTCTTCGTAACATTAAAAATCACTTTTGATTGAAAGAACATCATTAATAAACTCTTCACATCGCTCACATATACAAAATGATAAGATAAGCGTTTTGATAAAAATGTGATGGCCTGTTTGCAAAATTAGTAAAAGAAAAAGCCTTCAAACTACAAAAAAGAAAGCAAGCAGTATAAGTGGTTCGGGAAGAATTCAACGAAGCTAAGAGATTTTGCAGATCGAAAGCACGAGAATAACAAGAATATCAGTGACTGCTCCACGAGTAGCTCAAATGTTTTTTGGGCAGTCGGAATCCTAAACGGATAACTGCATACAAATTTATGCTGAATAATTGGATGTTTCACTGAAGTGGAATTGATGTTTCGCATCATTGCTACTGTGATGGGAAGGTTATAAGGTGTAAAATGCGCATAGCGTCAGGTGTTCCCACTTCACTCGGTCAACAACTCCTATCATTTTGCATTAAGCATCTTACTGATTCTGTGGAAGTTCTAATTTCCTCCTAACTTTTTTCCTAGGACGATGACTGACCAAGGATCTGTAAACGCTGCTGTATATAACCGATATTCCGATATTAGTGGTTCGCACCTTTCTAATTCTTCTATTACTTACATTTCAAATTCTTTCAAATTTTTGCCATAACAAATACTTTGAAAAAGTGCAATAGTCAATAGAATTTATTTAATTTTTATGCATGCAGTAGTTTTCTATCATCACAGGTGATAGAGAATATAATACTTCTATTTTCACAAAATTTACATATGATATCTTAATTGATAGTTTAATTTATGTCACACCAGGAATAACTTCAGTGAGATGAGAAACATTGTCATGCTCACTTCAACGTCTTATTTTGAATTTAATTTAGTTGTCTCAGTTGTCTGGTTAGCTGTAATAATTCTATCGTTTTCTTTTGTTTTGTTATCTGTATACTTCTTTATTTCTTATATATATATAAATTTTTGTATACTTCTATTTCTTCTGTCTCTCCTTTCTTTATTAATTATTAAAAAGTAAGTGAAATTGAGATTATAGAGTTACGGGTCGTTGTAGATGAAATTTGAGAGCAAGCAAACTAACTTGTTAAACTATAAGCTTAAGTTAAAACTTAATAAAAAGCTGCAATATGTTGAGGGCAGTACACAAGAATGTGCTATGAATATAAATTAGCGTTAATTTCCAATTCTCTGCCAAGCATGTTGCATAGAATTCAACAGGAATTGAATAAAAATGTCATCATATGTTTATTTTAACTATAGTGATTAGGATTTCAGCATAAGATATTTCATTATCATTAAGACACACAGTATCATTTTTCTAGAATCAGTACGTATATTTGCCACAGGGAGTACGTGGGGACGTTGTCAACATACGGACTGGGATGCTTGCGAACTGGCACGACTTCAAGAGCTTAACGAAGTATTTCAACTTTTTTAAGTTCTGTCCAAGTGCAAACACCATCTAAAAATTTTCTTTAATGTCTGATTTAATTTTTTCAAACCTTTAAAGGAATACCACGTAATGTCACATAATTATTCTGCTGTACGCTAGTTATTAAGAATGAAATTATTGTCAATTTGAATTATCCATCAGAACTTTTTCGCATTTCAATTGAGTGTAGCAAAATTCGGAAATGATATTATATTTTTTAGTTATTATATCGTGATACTACGATATTACTAGTACTAATTCTATAATTTTCAGGCTCGACAACGAGCAGCGCAAATGGAGAAGACGATGCGCTGGTGGTCAGAATGTACTGCATCATGGCGGCAGAAATGGAGTACGGTACGAAACGAACGAAACCGAGCTCGTGAAGAGGGACATTCGTTGCGTGTAGCACTCACGGAAGCCAAGGTTAGAAGACGGAATGTTCAAATATGTCAGAATGTGATTTGAAATAATTATTGGCTTGTACCACCGTTAAAAAAATGCAACATTAATTAAGAACTACTGATTAAAGGAAATTTTAATTACTCTCTCCATTTTGCTGTACTCTCTAGTTACAATGGTCTTTTTAGAAAAGAACAATTCATACTTAAAACATTCTCAAGTCATCATATGTTAATAATTGTACTTCTTGATAACTACTTCAGGAAGAGAACAAGAAATTATTAAGTATGAAACGAGCTGTGGAAGCTGAAAATTCACGTATGAAAGCTCATATACATTTATTGCAAAAAGAACGAATAGCCAGCCGAATGGTTAAATTTTCATTTTGTGTTGAAATTTAAAAATTGTTGAAATTTGCTAAAAGTTGAAATTTCAAGGGAACACCACATTTCAAGAAGAACGCAGAACATCGTCATAGTAATAACGAAAGTAGAAACACATTCACAGTTAAACGAAACAATGTAGTTTTTTTTCATGATCGAAATACTGTTTGACCTTTTAAACATGAATACTGATTTCAGCCACTAGAAGTGGATTCTCCGCCAGAGACACCAACAGTAACGGTTGACGAAGAGTGCCAGGCACGACCGGATTACATGCATGCCTCAGCAATGACCGATCAACAGGTATAGAATACGTCAGTTATAATTGTATCAAGTAAGGTTGTGAACAACAAAAAGGTCACTCTTCAGTTCTTAACTCTGATATTTCCTTGGTTAGTTTCATGATTTATGATAGAAAGGAACAGGTCAAAATGTAGTGGACACTAGATTGCGCATATTCTGGATATAAATGATCTTTCGATCTCTGAATATCTGATATGAAGGATGGTGATGTCACTGATTTTGTTTGGAACTAATGAAAAACATTTATGAACACTTTTATGAGACTGAAGAAAGACATGATCTTGTAAACACTTTGTTTTCCTTATTTGTGGTTTAAAAAAGCATCAAAAAATTTAATGGACTAAAATATTTCGAAATTTGTTTAGATTAGAGATCATTTCTACCCAATAATTAGTTTTGCTTTAAATTTTAAGGAAATCAATTTTTGTAGTTCGATATGAGCTATTCACGATGGATGCGTTTGGATGGATCACAGGGAAAGCTATTCGAGTGGGTTTTTTGTTTCTTTTTTTTTCGATATTTTATTCAAAGAAATTTATTCTTTCGGAAAGAGAGCGAAATGAAAATATTATAGGAGTATGCGGAGATTGGAAAGTCGATGCAGTGAATTGCAAACTGAATTAATGATGATGGAAGCTAAATGTACTGAACTTGAAGCTTCTCGTGTAGCTGCGAAAGAGGAGGTTTCTTGAAATGTTTATAATGGACTGGACTTTAGTTATTAACCGCCAGATCAAAACTATTGGACTGTGTTATGATTAATAGCTTCCTCCTTTCAAACCTGAAATCCTTGATGAAATAGTTACTGAACAAGTCTCGTGATCTCAGTACTACTCTTATTCTTATTAAATGGATATTAATTCCTTCCCAGGTGCAAAAATACTTATCTACGCATCATGCCTATTGCATAAATTGTGATCGTTTTGTTCACATTAATTTGTGACTTTAGATTGAGGAGTTAAAACGCTTTCAAGAACAAACATCCTTCAACAGTGGCACAACTTCACAGAAGGAAGCGAGAGAAATTGAAGCGGTCTGTCCTCCACCGCTAGTTCTAGAAGTTGCCAATGTGATAAAAAAACGCGCTGACTTACAGTTTGAAAAATAGAATTAAACTTATTACACCTCAATAATGAATCAACATATTTGATGCTTAATAATCTCCAGAGAAACCAAATATTGCATAAACGCTCGTAGTTTGAAATGTTGCTAATTATACTACGAAACTCAATTATTTCAAAATTGAAAACTTTTTTGGACGAGATTATTTTGCAGATAAAATCAGAACGAGATGAGGCATTAAGTGAAGTTCAAACACTGAAGATGGAAAAGGAATACCTGATGCAACAACTTAAAATGCTGAAGATTACGGTGGAGGAAAGTGAGCCAGAACCACCTAGGCCCATCTGATAATATCGGCGCTCTTAACCTCCCACCACGGCTTTGTATTGCAAGTTTCTACAGTTTGTTTTTTGACGATAACTGCATGGCGTCAATTTCTGCATAATTAGTTTACTGTTTGGAATGCAGCAGAAGCAAGAAAATGCAGGTTTCTTTATTTTACCTCGCAAACTTGCAACAAATTATTTATGATTTAACAACAATGTTGACTGATAAAACAAGGACACACCAATAAAAAAAAATGCAAAGAAAGAATTAGCTGTAGTTACAATAGAAGAGGAGTAATCAGCATGAATTCTATAAAGTTGAAGCCACAAGTGTACGATGCAATAAAAAAGGTTATAAGAATATGGGAGACATATATTAGAACTATTGTGAACATTAAATAGATCTGGAAAATATTTAAATTACAAATTAACACTGAAAAAAATGTGCTTCTCAGACATATTTTAAATCATCTTGAATAAGACTTGTAGTACAAATAGCGTTCAGACACAACCGTGAAGAATGGTAAAACAGATAGGATAATCAATATTAGGTTTCAAGTGACGGTAAATTTCAGAAAAATTTCGAAAAAAAGTCACCCAAAAAGAAAAAACAAAAATTATCAAGGGATAATAACATGAATATCTTTATTAGCCAGATCAAGCAAATTACATTTAGACGATATATATGCTGCCACGGGCAGTGGCTCTAAGGAAAGCAATAAATTTGACTTGGACCATAAGGAAAATGCGGTACGTACTTCATAAAGTAACCTAGTATGTGTTAGGACTACATCATTTGCTACTAGCAATATACGGTGCTTTCGGGAGCCATAATGCACTGTTACTGCAGATGAAGTCGTCCGGTAGCAGACCAGTTGTAACTAAATCAATTTAGATTAGAAATACCCACCGAAAATTAGTCAAGCATGGATTATAAAAAATATATTCACTTCAGGTAGAGAAAAACTTTTTGATTTCTTACAACATAA